AAGCCAAACACGGGATTGGTGCCTGGATTGGTGTCAAGGGTCAAGTAAACAGGAGGTGGGGCGCACCTGTCCAGGCACCTTGTCCATGTCATCAGGCCGCAATAACTGAAACTCATCCGACAATATCTGACCAGATGGAGACATTGGCACCTCCGCTAGAGAATCTGAGTCACTAGAATCACTTTTGCTCCCTCTGTCCCATCAGGGAGAATTCTTTTCCATCACCCATCGTTCTCCGGCTCCCTTCTCACCCCCCACCATGGCTCTTCCCGAGGCCCATGACCGCATGCTTTATTTCGGGGTCTCCACCTACTTCTTCAACACAGCCGGCCTCGTGTACTACACGGCAGGGGCCCTGACGTACGCCATCACCGACGACATGGTAAGCCGGCTGGGCCAGGGAGGGTCACGACCGTGGTGCAGTGGAACCTGGGCTCGGAGGGTCAGCGCCGCCGGACTTTGTGAGGAGCCGGGTGATGGATGCTCTCGGCCACACATCCGGCCGTCCACAGGCTTCCCTGCCCCTCTGATCATCGTTAATGAATCGAGTGCAGCTTCAAATCGCTGTGGAGGGACAAGTTCTCCCGTCAACAATATGCGATTGTGGGATATCCCATCTTATGCACACACGGAGATGGATGCAGCTACCGGCATTTGGGGCTCCTCCTCAGGGTGCAGCGATAGAAGCTGCCTTGGTGAGGACTGCACCCCCAAATTGAGTGCGATGCCGCCGGTCAAGGTGGCGCGGACTCCAGCAGCAGGGCCGCTCCCCACGCAGCACCCTCTGCATCATTTTCAACAGCCCGTCGTGTCTTCCCTTCCTCTCCTTTGTTCTAAGCTGAACAATCCCCGCGGTCGGAGCCACGGCTCAGGGGAGCCGCTCCAGCTGCTTCACCGCTGCCCTTGCCCTTCTCTGCTTTGCTGGCAACTCCGTGAGGTGCTTTTTCAGGTCTCGCGACCTGGAAGGCAAACAAGATTCCACGTGTGTCTGCATCAAAACTTTGTGCGAGGGGAGCAGGATCCTGGCAATTTGTGTCCGATGCGGTTGCTCGTTGTGCCTAGCGCAGGGTTGGCCTTGCGCGCAGCAGCTGTGCGCTGGGTCAGGACCTCCGTCGAGCTGCCCAGCACCACGCCGAGGCCCCCCTGGAGCGGTCGGTCCCAGCGCAGAGCCCATCGCGTGCTTACCCTGAGCCGCACGTGCTGCTTCGAGGCCCCTCGCCCAGCCTGGCGAGACCCCCCTGGGATCCCGTTTGGGTTTCACCACCCCACCTAGTCTGGGGTCGTCGGCAGGCTCGGCCACTTCACTGCTCGCTCCTGACCCCAAATCATTTACGAATAGGTCGAAAAGGATCGGCCCAAATACTTCTGTTGCCGCTCCCCCCGTTGCCGCTCCCCCCGTTGCCGCTCTCCAACCGGTACTCTCTTAGTTCCACGATGGCTGAGCTTGCCGAGGAGTTTTGGGAAGGCCCGTGTCACAAGCCCTTTGCGAGTCCCCATAAGCCAGGCCATCCATGTCCACCTGCTTGTGGACCCCAAAGCATCACGGACTATTTGCGTAGCCAGAACCCTGGGGCTTCGGGAAAAGACCCCCTTTTGGCCCAGAAGACACTTTCAGCCCCCGGATATTCTGCTGCCACGTTCTGGCCTTGACAGCAGGTTCTGGCGCGCAGGGTTAGCCGGGGGCGCCGCAAGATGCAAGGGCTGGTCTCGCACTGTATCCCCGTATTCCCTGGATCTTTCCTGCGCAGATTCCCAAGGATATCCAGCTCCGCCTGAACACGACCAGCATGGCGGCCCTCATTCCTCAGGTTAGTGCACGCTCTCGGCATGTGTCTGGGTGCGTGATCGGGCGCGCACGGCGGCCATGTGACCCTGCCCCTTGGCTCTCCCCCGCAGCTGAAGCTCCTGTACCCCAACATGGCAATGAAGCTCCGGGTCTCGCCTTCCTCCGCCCCGGCCCTGGCGATCACGCCCGAAATGCTGTCGCTGCAGCCCCTGGTGGACGTCCAGGCCTTCGCCATTCTCCCCAATTCCACCCTCGCGCCCCTCTTCATCATCGGAGTGGTACGTCACCGTCCGTGGGTCTTCCCGCTTGGCCTGTGCTGGATGGCGCTCACTCCCCTGGAAGGGGCAGGATCGAGCCTGGGCAACCCCCCAAAGCCGCCTTGTCACGTGAGGCTCAGGGGCTTCGGGGACATGGAGCGCCTCCCTCGGCCTTGGCCAGGGCTCAGCAGGGCCCCGTCTGGGCAGGGAGGGCCCGGCCCCAGTCACCTGCGAGCCGGTGACCTTCAGGTTAGACTCCTGCGGTGGACTCCCTGTGGGGCTGCCCTTGATGGCCGCTGAATTGCTGCAGCTTTTGCGAGAAGCGGCAGCTAAACTAAGGGGGCCCAGAATGTGTGAACACCTAGCGCGGATGCTGGCTGGCTTCCTAGATGCTTCCAAGCCTGAGTCAAGGCGACAGTTTTAACTCACAAAGCCCCACTCTGCTTGGCACCGTGGAATCTGCCGGAATGGCTGGGACCCGTCCAGACACTACGATCCGCCCCAGGACCTGCCCCTGAGCACCCCCTCTGAGGGAGGCTTGGAGGAACAAGGGAGGGGGCTTGCTTGGCGGGGGCCCCACCGTTCTGGAACCTCCGCCGTGATGGGACATGGGGGCCTGCTATCTGTAACAGCTCTGCTTCGTACTCAAATTGTCATTAGTGGTTTAGTTTGCTTTTGATTTTTGAGTATTGGAAAATCTATGCCGTTTTTATTGTCTTTGTGAGCCACGATATTATGAATCGTAAAACTCCCAGAGGGCTTCGGCATCTGGGCAGCGCAGAAATGCCACGAATAGCAGTGCAGCGACGGCAAGATCAGGATGAGCAGAAGCTGCTGCTGCTCGGGGCACGCCCCTCCACCAACGGCCAGCACGCCGCCAACCCGGCCTGCGCCCGAAGCCCCCTTCCGCGTCCTGCGCCCTCTTCTCTGAGGAAGCCCGCGTCTGCCCCGTCCCACCCTATCCTAGGCCTCCTGTTCTGCCCACCAGTTTGGGCAAAAAGTGCCTTTCCAAGGCCTCTCCGCTCCCTCCGCCTTTAGACTTCTGGTACTTTGTGTGAATGTCTCCGGCGTGGAGCACAATGCCGAGCCTTTCCGGAGCTCCGCTCACCTGCCCCTCTCTCATTCCAGTCAACCACCATTTCGGCCCAGGTGTCGGTCAATGCGACCAAGATCTACGGGTCCCTGAAACTCGGCAGGTGAGCAGCGGTGTGAGCCCCTCTCTCGGGGCCCCTGACCGAGCGTGCTTTCTCTCGCCTCATGGGCGGCTCCGAATATGGCTATGGGGTGGGATGTGCCCTGAAGGTCCCCAGGAAGGGGCGCTTGCCTCTGCCCCGGGAACTAACCGTGGGTGTGCGGCCCAGCTGTCGGCGATTTAGGTGTCTGATCTGCTACATTGCCCTGTGCTTCCATGCCGCTTTTCAGCCGGAAAGGCCCAGAAGGGGTGGAGAAGCACGGGGAGCGGGGGACAATCCACTCAGCCCCCTTGCCTTTCTCCCTCTGCAGGATGATGATGTCCTTGAAGCACTCGGATGTCGGGCCCTTCTCAGTAAGTTTCTGGGGTCCTAAGCTGCACGACCCTGAGAAGCCCCCGAGGATCCCAAAGCCAGAAGTCCAGTTCCCCGTTAGAACAATGAGCAGACCAGACGCGCCCGAGGCTCCCCTCTGCCGCTTCTCCCCAGTAGCCTTTCCCCCGTGCACCAGGGGGCCCTGATCTGGGGCCAACATGGGCTGAGGGGAGGGGATCAGGGAACCCCGGCCCCCTCCCCTCCTGCGCGCCTCGATTCCCACTGTGGCCTTCTCTCCCGACCCCCAGGTCCAGCTGATGGAGGCCCTCATAAACTTCAGTGCAGCTGGGATCCTCATGCCCCAGGTGAACGGTAAGGACCGGGGCAAGTCGCACCCTCGACCCCTTCAGCTCGTCTGCGCTTCCGGCAGCCCTGCACAGCCGCCCCCGATCCTGGCCGTTTCCCAAACGAGGAAGAGCGGCAGAAGGAAGGGCCTTCCGTGCGCTCCCCCACATGTTCTGGCAGGCGCTGGAGCCCCCCACACTCTAGGGTGGACCTTGACTCGGGAGTCGTCGGTGTGTTAGCATCTCCCCGTCACCAAATGGGGTTCGGATCTTTCCTCTCCGGCAACGAAGGGCGAATATTTTCACAAATATTCACCTCTCCAAGGAGGTCGGGGCGAACGCTGCAGGCTGCACCTCGGGGGGGGGGGTGGAGGAGCGGCTGGGGCACATGGGGTGCTCGCCAGGGTGGGGCCCTCCGTGGTGCTGGGGCCCACTCACGGGGCACTGCCAAGGCAGGGCGCGGCGGAAGCAGGAGGGAGACTGCTCTGCCTGCCAGGGAAATGCGGCAGCGAAGGCAGGGCGGCCAGATCCTGGCTCGCCCCACCCTGGCCGCTCCTCAGGGGCTCGCGAAGGCCGCAACAGGCACTGGCCGCGTGGGAGGAAGGGGCGCATGGGAGAGGACCCTCCAGCGGCCAACTCTCCTTGTGGGGAAGAGAGTCCAGCCCTCACGGGTTGCCCAGCGACAAGCAAGATTGTCCCAGGTGCAGGACCTCTGCAAAATCCCCACTCTGGTGGGGATTTCACAGGAAGCCCCGGCCTGCCTCCAGCAGGGGCAGGAGGTTGTGCGGTGCCCGGGAGGCCTTCCAGGGCTGCCAGGGCGAGCGCTCGCGGAGCCCTTGGCAGGAAACGGAGCCCGGAGCGGTCAGTTCCACCCGGGCCCTCCAAGGAGGGGCTGAGCGCCTGCCCACCGCCCCAACCACCGCGCCGCGTCGTTTTCAGCAAGCGTGCATTATTCTGCATTTGCTTTTATGTCTCACCTCCTTTCCTCTTGTGAGGTGCCCAAGGCCACCTACACGGCCCCATTTTATCCTCACAACAACAACCCGGTGAGGTAGGCTAGGCCGAGAGCAAGCACCTGGCCCGAGTCACCCCTGAGCTTCATGGCTGAGTGGGGCAGGACCCGGATCCCCCAGGCCGAGAAAAGGGCGAGTGCAGAAGACGAAGCATTTAAGTTCTCTAGTCTGCGTGGCGCATTTATAGGGCAGAATCTGGCTTTCCCCGCGCTCCATTCAGTGGCCTCGGTGAATTCTGTCTTCCAGCCCGGCTGGCCGAGGGATTCCCCCTTCCGCTCCCGGACGACGTGCAGCTCTCCAGCGTGTTCCTCCGGCTGCAACAGGTGGGCCGTCCGTTTGCAAACGGTGCCAAGCCAGGGCTGACGCCAGAGCACCCTATGGGAGAACTGCTGGGCAGAGCCCGCAGCGATGCGAAGCACCGTGGGAGGGAAGCCCCAGGATCCCCTGGAGCCGTGCGGGGCATGCTGGGAGGGAGGGCAGCCCTACAGGGACGTGCTGGGTGCCTCCCCTGGCACAGCAGGCCTTGAATGAGACACAGGCACTCGCAGCTGCCCGGGCAAATAACTCCGACCCAGAAGTGCCGGAGGGCAAAGAGGTAACATTTTCAGTGGGGCTTCCTAGCAGGTGATGCACCACGCCTCTCCAAGGACTTGATCGACCGGGAAGCCCCACAGAAATGAACGGGCCTCCATCCACGGCTGGGCCACTGTGAAAGGGGCTCTTCCTCGGGCCTTCCACCCACAGCAAAAAGCCTGTCTCGTTTGGCTTGCATTTTAGGCGACAGGCAAAATTCTCTGGTAGGAAAGAGCACCACAGGGGTGTCAGTGTAGCTTTGCTCCCTAAATCCCTCTTCGGAAAGGCCTTTTGTGTTTGGGAGACTTCAAAATGGCTGCCGCCGTAGGAAATCATCTTAAATTGATGCCTCCGCCGCCACTCGCTGGGGCCGTCATGACCGTGGACAGCCGCTGTATATCCGAGGAAGACATGCCTGGAGAGGAGCGGGGTGTTCCTCGTTTTATTCAGGAGAGGCAGCACTGCATAAATACCTCGCCAGCCCATAACGCAAGGCGGTAATTGAAGCAGTCTTGTGAAAATTATAAATCACCATTCAGCCCTGCTTTAAATATGCCGCAGCCTATGAGGAAAAACATTTTTATGGCTGGATGTCTCAGATGCTGGGTTCAAACAGGCCCACGATTTGAAAAGCAGCCCCACGTCGTTTCGGGACCAGGGTGGGTTGGGGGGAACCAGCAGAAAGCCAGCATCTCGAATCAGAAGTACGTCTGGCTGAATTCCGTGGGATTTACTCCCAAGGAAACCTGCTGAAAGGAACTGATTCAGAGCCGTGTTCTTGGATCAGCCTTTCCGTAAGGCGGCCTCTTCTTGGAGCACCCCCTCCCCTTCCCACCCTCCGAGGGGCTGCATCCAGCTGCAATATTAGCATCTCTGGCGCAGCTCCAGGTCTGCAGAGCAAGGGCCTGGCAGCTCCGGCTTTATTTGAAGCAGCTGCCCCTGCTCCTGCCAAAAACGCCCCCAGGCCCAGCAAGGGCCCCCCCGTCTGCGGCTCAGGGCTGCTCCGAAGGCGTCCCGTCCGCTGAACTCCTGCGGCGCCCTCCGTGCTGCGTCTCGGCGCGCCGAGGGCGACCCTTGCGCCGCGCTTCTGCGGCTCCCGCGGCCAACCACCAGGCGGCGCTACGGCGCAGGCCTTGCGGGACGTCCCCCCCCCCCCGCGGCCGAGCGGCGTCCGCAAGCGGCTCCCCTCGTTCTAAAAACGGCTGGGAGACCCGGGAGAGGCCCCGGGGGGTGGCCACCCGATGAAGAGCTCCCTCAGTCCTCTGTGCGGGCACAGGGAACGCCTTGTGCGGAGGAGTCCTAAATGCCAAGGCAGGACACTAAAGGAAAAGTGGACGCAGAGGGGAAGGAAAAACGGGACCTGGGTCTGACCGCGTTGCAGTGACTGGCGAGCCAGTCGCTATTCTTATTTATGCATTTACGAGCTTTTTTGACAAAGGGGCTGTGGGGATGGTCTCCCAGAGCACAGCAGAGGGGTGGGGAAAGTTTGGCTCCATAGGAGGTATTCCTTTGCTTTGGTTTCTCTGAGGCTACTTGTGCTGCAGAGGAGGGGGTTCCCATTGGAATGGCAGCTGAAGAAAAGCCCCTCCCCAGCTTTCCTTAAAAACCGGGGAGGGAAAGGAAGGTTTAGTTGTTAGCTGTGCAGTTATGGAAATTAACAGGCTGGCCCTGGAGCACTGATTCCGACAGTTCTTAGCTTGAGCAGCTTGCATGCAAACGGGTGAGGGGCGGAGGAGCCCACCTGGGGGGCGGAGAGGCGGGCGCTCCCAGCCCGGCCCTAACTTGGATCCTACCCCGCCAGGCGCGCGGGAGCGCCAGGACTCATTCGGAGGGGGCCGAGAGGTGCGCCGCCCCCTCACCTCCCGGGTCCTTGCACTACGTGCGCAAGGCACGAGCGGGGTCGCATGGGGGTCTCCCGGGCCGAGCCCCGCTCCCGATGAAAAGTGCTCCCCCCCGTTCTCGGCACAGCCCTCCCCACCCGGCGCCCCCAGCGGGGCTGCACCACGTCCTCTCCCCGGTCTCCGGGCGGCCCTGCCGGCAGCGCAGCACCCCAGAGCGCGCAGGACAGTGGCGGCTGGCCCACGGGGCGGGGGGGGCGGCTGGCCCACGGGGGGCCGGGCGCGGTCGCTTGCCCCCGCCGGCCGCAGGAGGCGCTCCTGACCCCGCCGCGGTGCCTCCACAGGGCTTCCTGCTGTTTGGCGCGGACGTTCGCTACGGGTAGCGAGGAAGAGGAGGCGGCGGCGGAGGGCGCTCGGCCCCGGCGGAGAAGGCGCCTCCCGGGAGGGGCTCGTGGGCTGCCCTGCGCTCCGGCGGTCCTCCTCGTCCCGGCGCCCGGAAGTCCCCGCAAGCCCAGCAGGACGGAGGACAAGCCCGTTCCAAGGGCGCCCCCGCCGGCGACCGGCCCAGGCCCGGGCCGTGAGCCAAAGCAGCTCTCCCCGCGTGGGTGCCAGGCGGCTTCGGGCGGGCGCTGGAGGAGCTGCGGGGCCCAGGGGGGAGCGCCAGTGGCCGCATCCTGCCCTGCCGCGCGGCCTCCGTCCGATGACCCTCCCAAGCCCCGGCTTTGCACATCCGGACACCGGGGGGCGAGAGGGGAGAAGGCGCCCATCCCGTGGGCACGGAGCGGGCCCCGGGGCGAGCAAGCTGGGCCACTCGGCCCTCTGCCGGCGGCCGTGCCCTGTGGCTGCGTGCTCCTCTGCCTCTCTCTCCACTCCTCCTCCAGCTCAGTCCAGCTTTCTCGTCCAGAAAAGTCAGACTACAACCCCTATCATCCCCAGACATCATGGTCATCCGGTGCCCCAGGGACAGAACGTCCCTCAGTCCAAAGCGGGGGTCCGCCCGAGTCAGCACCGCCCCCGCAGCCTGCGAGATCGGCCCATCTCGTGCGCGCTCGCGCATCGCTTCCCGCAGACCTGCCGACTTCGCTGGTCTCACTCTCCCGTCGCTGCGCGCAGAGCTGAGCCGCAGCAGAGCGCCGGGCCGGGCCGCTCCCCCTGCCAGCTTCCCCGTGCCTTGCTTGCTCTGCCGTGATTGTCCCAAAGTCATTTGGACTCGCAGTGAACCATCAATAAACCCCTGACGGTCTCTGGGTGGAATGACTGAGTCCTGTGGGGAAGGGAGGGGCGGGCGGGTGGAGGGGCAGAAGCACTGGGGCTGCGGGGCCTAGTGCATCCCAGACTCGCCCCCCTTCCAGGATCTGCGTGGGGCAGCGGGGGCCCGCCCTGGGGCAGCCCCCTCCCTCCTTTCCTGAGCTGCTGGATAGGATTTTGCCCTGGACTGCTGTTCCCTTTGGCTCAACCCAAGCTGGTTTACCACAAAACTATTAAAACATGCAAACGACAGACGAGCTGCAACCAGTGCCTATTAAAATACCGCAACGCTGGTGCCGGCCAGAGCCCAGACCGCTGGTCCGGGAGAAGCCTGCTGCATGCTTTCAGGCGCCCGGGGGTGCCCCGGCCTGGCTCCAAAAAGGGGGCACTGCAGCTCCCGTGGGCATTGGGGCGGCTTGCGCAGCAAAGTCACCGAGCTGTCTGGATCTTAATAGCAAGATTAAATTAACGGCATGGAACTGCCATGGTCAACGGCACGGGGTAAGTAGGACGGAAGGACAGACGGACGCTTTTACAGCTGCCCCGGAAAAACACCACGGAAGGCCTCTGTCGTTCCTCTCGGGGCCAGGGAAGCCTCCGATTTCCCCCACCCCAAGTTGTCCCCACAGCAACCTGTGGGGTGGGGGACGGGCTGAGGGTGGCAGCCCCAAAGCCACCAGGGACAGCTCCGTGGCCGAGTGGGGATTTGAACCCCTGACCGGCCTCCTGGCCTTGCAGCACACGGGCCGCCTCCCCCTCCCCTCCGGCCAGTCTGTGCCCCCCCGGGCAGCCTCCCGGCCATGCTGCTGCTGCCGCTGCTGGAAGCAGGACACTGGGTGGCGGGGGGTCCCCTGGGGCTGGCTCAGCAGGGAAGCCGCCTCAAGCGGAACATCCTCTGCCAGCTGGGCGGCCAGTCTTGTCTTTGCACATCAGAGAAGAGCAAAAAGTCCCTTCCGGAGGTCGAGGTCGACAGGAGGGGAAACCACCGTTTCCGACCCCCCCTTGAGCTTTCCCAGCAGAGGCAAGCACAGCCCCCCCGGAGAGCCAGAAGGGGGGGCAGGAGGGATGCACTTCCAAAGCCAAACCTGGGAAGAGGCCGCCGTTGGAGCAGCCCGTGGCCAAGAGGGCGCTTGGGACCCCGAGGCCCTGGGTCTGTGAGGGCTGGGGAGGGTGAAGGCAGCCATCCGCCCGGTTGCCCCCCGCCTCGGGGCTCCCACGGCTCCGGAGGGCCCCTCCCAGAAGGCAGCAGGGCTGCTCACAGCCAGGCTGGCTTCCCCGAGCTCCGAGGGACCCGAGGGCTGCTCAGCAGGCTCTGAGGCGATGTGGAACGGGCCGCAGGGGCCACGGCTGCTCTTGCAGGACTGCGCTGAATCCCTGCATCGTTCTCTGGGGAGCGGATTCCTCGTGCAAGGACCCCACAGCCCAGGCGCCCCGGCAGGCCTCCCCTTCAGGTGGGGGCGGGGGCACAAGACCCCCGCTGCTTTTCCTCCCACAGCTGACTGGAGGGAAGGAGGAACAGAGACCAGCCCCGCCAGACCAGCCCTCGCCTTGCGCCCCATCTCCCGGACGTCTCCCCGGGCTCCCCCCTCCCTCCAGGACCTTGGCACCCTCTCCTGGACTAGATTATCACCAGGAGGAAGTTGTTGAAATTCAGCAGAACTCATTGTGAAATTCCCCAGAACTGGAAGTAAAGTTCATCAGGTTTAATTTTCTGCTTCTTGGAAGGAGGCACTGGTGCAAGCAAGAGCCTCGAGCAGCAAAGCCGGGGACTTGCTTTGTGGGGAGAAGCAGAGATGCCGCCAGGTTTTGTGTTTTGGGGCCGATACGTTTGGAGCGAGAGAGTGCGGCTCCCTCACTGCGAAAGGCTCACCTGGGAGGCAGTGCTGGCCCCGAGGGAGGGGCCGGGGGCATTTGGGGGCCACTCCTGCACATGCCGGGTGATGTGGCAGGCCTGCCGACCTGCCCTCGCCCGCCTGGTGACCCCCAGCACGCTTTGGCAACCCAAGCCAGCTGCAGCCTGCAGGCCTAGGAGTGCCCGCCACGCTTGGCCACGTGGGGAGGAATGCATTCCTCTGGCCCGGAGCGTGTGAGGATTTTGGTGGGGCAGCGCAGGCAGCCACACGCTGTGCCACGGAGTGCCTGGACCTCTCTAGAGCAGAGGGAGGGGGCGGTGGGCAGTGCCCTGCTCTGCAGAGGGCAGCCTCTGTCTGAAGGGCCACCCAGGCCCAGGCCCGGCTGGAAGGCGAGGCAGCCTAAGGAAGGCGAGCAGAGGGGCTTTGCCGGCCCCCTTCGGCGGTTCAGCGGCCTGCGGTCCTGTGCTGAGTGACAGAACCTCGGTTTTCAAGGGGCCGTGGGAAAGATCAGACGTTTGAACCTCAGCTGCCTTATTGATTGGTGCCCAGTACCCGCAGTCGCTAACGAGGATGCATTACCCGGCAGAGGCAAACTCCACGACAAAATCACACCCACGTGCAGACACACACCGATACAGAGCGTTCCGCTTCCAGGCAACGTTGGTGCAGGAGCATCCTGATGCCCGTAGGCGTGACGTACTGTTCCAAACGGATCAGAAACTCTGGTGACAGTAGCGTGCGGAGCCTGGCTGGTTGCTGCATTGGCGGGGCGGCCGGGCAGATTCCTGGCTGCTCAGGCCAGCCGGGTCTGTCTGGTTAACCGCGCAGCTGCATCTGGTGGAGCAGCCCGTCAGAGAGGCCGGCGTGGCGGGCACATGCGGCAGGCGCTGGCCCCTGTCCAGGGCAGCCGCTCGGGAGCAAAGGACCGGCACGGTCTCGGTTTTTCTGCAGCCGATGGAACACAGGGCCTTGCTTCTCAGACCAGCCAAGAAAGCCCCCTGCTCGAGGCAGCGGCTGCGCTAGGCAGTGGCCAGCCTGGGAAGCTGGTGCTTCGTGAGACAGAGGCGCAGGTCTGATCTTGCAACACGAAGGCACGTCGACGCAACCCCTTTCTGCCCGGATTTATCTGAAATTTCCCAACAGGAGTGCACTGTACTTCCATTTATGTTATCCCGCTCCCGCATTTGCATACATCAAGATGGGCAGATTGAAGGGGGCAGGTCCGTGCCCCCTGTTGTCAACGGAGTGCCCTCTCAGAGGCGAGCGAGTGCAGCGTCCCCTTGGGCACCAGCGGGCGGGAGGCGCAAGACGCCCGCCTGACCAGGGACATCGCCTTGGAACGAGGAGCCTGGCCCGGGCGCAGGAAGGCCGAGCCAGGCCCGGAATCCCGGGAGGCCATGCGCAGCACCCCTTCCTCTTCCAGGGTGCTGGCTTTTCTGGAGCAAGGAGGGGGAGCAGAGTGGTGGGCGAACTTTGGGGTACCAGCGGTCCTTCCACGGCCGTCTTGCTTCGGCAGCACGAGGGGAGGGCCAGCCCCGCCACAAAACCCCCCTGCAGCTCACCCTTGAAACGGTGTTGACTGACCGAAGAGCTGCTGCAGGTATGTTTGCAGTGGAGCTTGGCCCCGCAGCGCTTTGACGGGGAAGCCGACACGGCCTCGGACCTCCGCGTGCCTCTGGCGCCTGGCGCTGGCCTGGCCTGACCGTTTGCGGGCCGGGCGGTGCGCGGCGCCCCTTTCCCTGCGGGAGCAGGAAGGGCGTACGGTGCGGTGCCGCCAGCGCGGAGCTGCCGCAGTGGGGGAAAGAGCAGGGCCGTGGCGGGGTGGGAAGCGTCCCTGCGAGGGGGAGCTCTGTGGGGGCAAAATGTGCCTCCTCTGAAGAGGTCCCCCCGGGCTTGGGCCAGTGGAGGGGGCACCCGCGCAGAGGCCGGGAGCACGCTCCTGGCTGGGGAGCTTCAGGCTGGGAAGATCTGGGTGCTCCGTGGGAAGACGAGAGCTGAACCCACGGCAGACGCCCGTGCTGCTTGCGGCACAGGAGACGTGCCTCGGGTGAACACCCACTGGGGACTAGTCTCTCGCGCCGACCCGTTGCAGCAGGCATTCCGGAGGAGGAGAAAGGGTGCGGGGGTGCCGGGCAGGCCAACCGGGGCAGGCAGGCCGGGGCAGGATCTTCGCGAGCGGTTGCTTGAACGCAGCGCCGAGTGGCGGGTAAGCCCCGGAGTCGGCCGCGAGTGCCGCCCTGAGCCAAGACCGACAAAGCAAGGAGGCCGCTCCGGCTCGGGGAAGAAGGTTCTGCAACGGTGCCACTTGGGCGGACAGGTTGGCAAATCCCCAGGAAGTCGTGAGGCTCGAGGGGCGCCAGGCAGCTCGTTTCTGGCAGCG